GCAAAAGTTGGCTATCACCATAAGATTTTTAAAAATTTTTAAATGCTAATAGCGTGTCTTTCTGCTGAAGCCTCGATCTAGACGTGTCAATACGATCTAAGATTTCTGTCTAAGACAGAATTCAGCTTTTGGATTGAAGGTTCTATTTTCAGACGAGTTTGTAAGCAATAAGACTTCAATGTGACGAATGCCTCGACTGACTCAGGAGAAGCAAATCAACGCCTTTTGCTCAGCCTCCCCCAAATTACGATATTCCACGAAGAGACAATGCAGAATCACCTGCCATATAGGTCTCAAAAGAGTACTCGTACACTCCATAGGCATTACATGAAAGTTGTTGATGACTTGCCAATTTATTGTGAACAATAATTCTTTTTATCTGACAGCTTTTTTAGGGTAGGATGTTATAGATATACCCGGCGATGTTGAGTATTGTGCAGAAGTTTGACGTCAAACGAGACTCGAGCCCCTGACCTTTCCGAGAAATTTTTCAGATAAGGAGAAGGAAAAACCGGTCTCATTCGCCGGAGAGGTTTTTTTTATAGGAGTGTTAGTAACCATTGGAAAGCTGAGACTTGTGGCTACAGCCCTACGTCGCACGCTTTTCAAAACACCCTATATCACTTCCAGACGATAAGGGTCAATATGACCCTAAGCTGAAAGGCCATTCGGACGGGCTACGAAGTGTGGTGTATGCTCCAAGACAGTTAGGGTTAATAAAGCTCTCAGAAGAACATTGGCATCAAAAAGCGATAAAACATCACTGATGAGAATCCTGCATGAATGATTTCAGCAATATTAACGACAATGGTGCCTAAAATCTTTCCTTTTCCAAAAGAAAAAAAAACATATATTTGCGAAAAGGATTATATTCCCAGCTCTTGCTGTGCATTTTCTCATACCTTCTTGATTTTTTGTGGTTAATAGATAGCTCGAAAAATTCTGAGTTTAATGCTGAGCTCGTCGCTTGAAAATAATTTCACAGTACGTCATAATGAAAAATAGAAGATGACGTTTGCAATCGCAATCCAGTTTTTTCAATTCAAAGCGGATTTTTTGGGATTATATATTCAGATTTAGTTTCTTAGAAATTTTTTTGATGGAAAACCTTGAATTATTATTAATGGGACTTTTCTAAGCGTAAATATATAAGAATAACGCTCAACTATCTGGCAAATCCCTACCTTTGGAAATAACTTGTGTCGCATGCAACCGTATTTCAAGTATTGCGCTCGTGAGCCTTTGGTTTTTTCTACAGAAGACTTATTCCACTAGATTATTAACATTCGTTCTATAGATGAAATTAAGTAAATTTTAGCGGTATATTCTGTTTCTCAAATGGCTTGTTCTTTCCGCTGTAACAGTCGAAATAAAGTTTGGTTTCACATTCAAATGTTTCATGCTGGACAAAGATTTTTCTATAAAGAGTTAATAGCAGTTCGATAGTGCAAATTTCAGCGATTTCAAAGATTTAGTTTATTTTTGGAGAGGACTCTCGAAAAAGCTATGACATTGAAAGAATACTGGGTTTCACACCTTAAAAGGTAGGATTTTGTGACATTTGCGCCATTTCACCGTGCCTTTAGCAACACATCAACTAAAAAAAACAGTATTTATATTTGATTTGAAACCTCTATCGAACAATTCTATAGTATTTCATTTTTGCTTACAATTCACTCTATCCTTTATTTTCTTTCATTTTTCATATACTTTAATGCATAATACACAAATTCATTACACTGGTTAGAATACAATGAATAGTTCTTCAAAAATAGAGTTGATTATTGCATGCGATCCCATTTCGTCGAAATTTATCAATATTTTATTTCGATTAACGGTTACTTTATTCCCATTTCTCAGACCAGTGCGTAATTTCGTTTTGATTTTTTATTCATAGTTGCGGTATGAGAAGAAGAGATGGAGCTGTAGCGATTCCTTTCCGTTCCACCCTCTTTGAGGTCGTTGGTAAAAATGTATTTTTTATTGTTGTGAAATGTTTCAATAATCATTCGATAGCTAAAATCAAGTACATTTAAACGACATATGTTTGTCTTTCAATGGCCTATTTCCTTCGCTGTAATAGTTGAAAGAAGATTTTGTTTACATTCAAATATTTCTCGCCGATAAAGGTTTTTTTCTAAGCAGTTAATAATCATTAGATAGGGTAAATCTCAGCAACTTCAACGATGTACTTGTTTTCAAAAAGGAGTTTTCGCAGTGCTGTAACAGTCAAAGAAATAGCTTTCGCAAATTTGAATCATTTTGATGGACGCATTCTGTTTTGACTCTTGCGAAAATCGCGTTTTCTGTTTTCAGAGTTATAATAACCATTCGATAGCTCAAATTTCGAAAATCCGATGGCATGCTCTATTTTTAGATGGCTTCCTTAATACGCTCTAACACTAAGAATCACATTCAATTATTTCTCGCCCAACAAAGTTTTTTCGCTAGACTTTTGATAATCTTTCGAGAGCTTAAATTTCGACCATTTCTATAAAAGTTTTGTTTTTAAAGAAACCCTTCAATGTACTGTGGCAGTCAGAAGTAAATTGCGTTTCGCAATTAGTTGTGTTGCTAAAGGCACGGTGAAATGGCGCAAATGTCACAAAATCCTACCTTTTAAGGTGTGAAACCCAGTATTCTTTCAATGTCATAGCTTTTTCGGGAGTCCTCTCCAAAAATAAACTAAATCCTTGAAATCGCTGAAATTTACACTATCGAACTGCTATTAACTCTTTATAGGTAATGTGCTCTTGTACAGCCCGATACATGGGTTTCCAACTTAAAGTCCAGTCAGTTGGGCAGAACCCGCCGTCTTTCAGCCTTTTCAGCCAATCGTCTCGGTAGTCGTGACTGTTCCTATAAAGAGGTAGCTAAAACGAACGATTTACAGTCTAAGTCAAGTGAAATTATCACCGAAATTACAGTGTTTTGCACTCGACTGCTTTTGACTGATATTTTTATAATTTGATACCTTTATTTCGAGTGTTCTCTTAAGACTACGCTCAAATTTCAATACATTTAACAATCATTATTTGAGCCAACACGTCATGTTGTTGATAATGGGGTTGTAGAAGAGTCCATTAGCAGACCACATGACATGTCGGCTCAAATAATAATTATGAAACATAATGAAATTTGAGCGTGGTCCTGAAAAAGCGTTCTGAATAAAGGTACAATATTACAATTATTACTTCCACTACTACCACCACTACTACTACTACTATCGTAACATTAGTTTTCACAGTACTGCTAGAAAGCTTATTGCAAATGAGAAAGTTGCAAAAATCATAGCACAATGGATTAACTTCGGACAAATCAGACGTTCTGCTACCGCATTTTTTTCTACTTACTAAGTGTGAAACCCTGAAGTTTTTACAAAAGCCGGCTGTGGAATATGACGGCGATTACTGTGCTTACTATGGTGATGTAAGATATACTAGTACTCTATATATTTTCTGATAATTTGATTTTATTGGGTACTGTAAAAGAATGAAGTAATTAAAATTAAGTGATCCAAGCTATTATCTCTGTTAGTTGGCCTGATGGTTCGCAAAAAAACCTTAAATTAGTTAAATAATGATGGCCAGTGTTAACCATCGAATCGATTTGTCTGAATAAAGTGCTCACCTTAAGCTGTACAGTTACAACATAACCATTGACCGTGTTGTACAAATGAAACTATTTGCGAATGATACTTCGATGGAGTAGAACTACATTTGTTTTACATAACACAGAGGGATAGCAAGAAGCGTGTATAGAAACTTTGTCTCATGAAAATACATGGAGTCTGATTCCGTAATCAAAAAAGCTATGATATCCAGTTTTGTGAAACTTCATTGGTCGTTTCGACGAAGAATGTAGGCGATGTGAGTGAGGAAGAAGAATGCTAAAACATCGTGTGAATCAATGAAAACGTGCAGTACATGACTGATGATGATCATTTACATCGCTTACCATGAACACTAAAATTTTGGTTTTCGTTTAGAGTGTTTTCTTAAGACTACGCCCAAATCAAATCGCTCAAATCAACGTTGCCTACTCTTAATATAAGAGACTGAGCGCGCCGAGAGGATTGGCAGAAGACGAGAAGGATACCGCCGGACTGATAAGACCGTCAAGGTTGAAATACATGTATCGGGCTCTATAAGTCAGCCCTTATATTAGACCACATGACATGTTGGCTCGAATAAAGTTACGAGATATACTGAATTGATTCCGAACCACTTACATTAGCAAATTTCTGGGATATCCCTACGTGTTGAGTAATCAGTACTCGTACAACTCGCATTTAACTCGTTTTTGTCTTCTTTCTGAACGGCTTAGAATGCCGATTGAGCAAAGCTTCTTGCAATCTCGAGGGTAGCCTGGCTATGGCATTCCATAGGATGTTCGTTACTGACTGCCGGAGAGAGTTGAGGGGTGGAGCTCGGCTCCATGCGCTCCGTGAAGAGCATCACAACCACTCGGTCACGGCTCCCCAGAGGCAACTGAGTACATATTCAATAAATATAATGAATTACAGTGTTCTACTGAAGTGTCAAATGACTGTTGTCAACCTCCCTGATAAATCTAAAAACCGTTTACGGAGCCTATAGGAATGAAAACCTTTCTGAGCTCGGAGCACAGGATTGAACCGACAGTTACGTGGTAATGCAGGCACCTCTGACCATTGCGTTTTATACCCCTTTAGTTTTTTCTTCAGAACATCATTCATGAATTTACGTTAACAGATTCGGTTTGGTAGGTGATTCCATGCATATAAGAAAATCGTAGAAAAGTTGATGCTTTTCATTAACGAGCTATGTCGCCAAACTACCAATCGACACCAATTCAGGCTTGAAGGACGCTCTCGTAGAAAGTTACCATTTCTAGCAGCGACTGCATGCGCACAAAGGCAGCACACTGCACTGCTTTACACGTTATTCAAAATTGCAGTATCTTTTGTCTTATGAAAATAAGACATTGATTCTTTGGTGTCAAAACTGGTGCAAAAATGGGTGTCGGTAGTGCAGCGGTTCAGCACGCGCTCCTGCATAGAGCGAAATCTGGGTTCGAATCCCGGTTGACATAAACAGTTTTGCACACCACTCTACATCATTGGGTATATTGTAGCATCATACCACCTCAAAAGGCGGTCAAATAAAATGATTTCACAATGATTCTTCCATAGTCTAAAAAGATATTTATTGAATAAATCACTAATCGATGTTCGTTAACTGAACACTTGAACACTGAGAGATTTATTAGAGAATGATTTCATGCTATGGCTTCTGTGCATTCTCTGTTGTACATGGTCGAGTTTCTGTCATATATGTACCAACAAAATGTTCTATGCGAGATTCATTGTTATAGTCGTACCTGAAATCTAACAAAAGCCTTTATTTGGGTTCTAATCATGCGGAGCCATTAAATGCTTCCTTCAGTATGAAGTTTTTGGCCAGGATCTGTGTGCGCGTTACTGCATCTCATGTCGGTTAGTTGAATTTACCAATGGAGTGACTGACAAAGATATTCTTTAATCTTCGAGCTTTTCTTGTATAAATAATGACTGTGTCTAGAAAATGCACGAATATAAGAAGATTGGTAACTTGGCGAATCAATGATAGCAATCGTGCTAGTGGAGAAGATTAGGGAAAAGCTTTGGCGGCAACTTATGTCTTCAGTAAACACAAGCTAGCTGAAGAAATACCGAACGATTTGAGTGATTTGGTATGAGCAGAGTGATTGAAGAATAAACTCACGTCATGCATGCGTGAAATGGATTTGTGAGGCGAAATGTTGGCGGATTTTGGACGACGTCGCCGTCCTCGTCCACTTCGACCATCGTGTGGTTGAATTTTCCGCCTTTGTAATGCCCAACCATTGTACGCAAAATTAGGCGCCATATTCTATCCACCTGAAAAACGTTTTTCTTCCGTGAGAATCCCCAAATCTCTTGCCCAATATTTAATTTGTACTACAAATGCCTTTTCTTTCACTTCTTCAATTGACCCGTCACAGTCTTTTTTTATTGTGTAGGTCTCGGTACTTCTACCATTTGATTCCTTTCCTCGTTTACATCGCTTGCTTAAGAATTTCATTGTCTTTACGAACGTCATAGATTCTGGTCGGGCACATCTTGCGATTTCGTGGATAGCTAGACCAGGGCGTTCTCGTAAGACGTTCGTTCAGTGATTGCCAGAGAGTGTTGGGTCGAGGCGGGGGATCAACTCCGCGTTGAGCATCATTAGCCAGTCGGCCATCGGATTTCTATTTATTTGTATTGCAAATGTTTTAAAAAGTGTGAATGAGGCAACAAAATTGATAGTTGGGATTACTTAAGCTGGACTTCCGCATGTAATCTAAATGACACAATGACTTGTTCAATTGCCTCTTTTCGGAGTTGGACATTTTGGAGTGAAAGGCTTTGAAATGCGTGCGGAATGATCACTGTGCAAGCAGACGCGATATGCGTTACTGTACTACGCTCTTCGTTCCGTTCATAAGAATTTTGGTACTGCGAAGTTAGAATCTAATCACTTAACTGGCTAAGTGTCCTGTTTTTTGACAAGCTGCCTAGTCTTTTCCAAGAAAACGGTGATTCAAACTCTTTAGCTACTCCGTAAAGTATTCTATTGAGGCTAAAAAACTTGGAATCATGAGGATGTTGATTTCAGTCAACAGGAGAAGCTAGTAAATGTTTTTCGTGAAGAACTGCGAGTGTGATGCACTCTTATCCCAATGTTACAGAAAATATGCGCCTAGATGATATTCCATACCTTAGTTGAGCAGAAGACAATAGACACCCAAGCAGTAGCGTAGCGCTTCACTTTTTTTATAAAACGACTGTGAAGCGATAAAACGAGCGCAAGAAGTACTCCTTTGACACTAATGATAACATCTGAGCAAATACAGTGCAATTAACAATTTTTTTGCAAAGAATCTGTAACCTAAGCGATTTTCTCCACTTCATGCCACCAGTACCATGGACTTTTGTGTTAATTTCCTATAAGATTTCGGAGTTATTGAACCATAACTTGAACAAGCCCAGGTCTTTAACTTAGTATAAATCATTTGACTGTATTCAAAATCTCTAAAATAGTCTTACTGTTGTCACTTGGGAAAAATTTTGTTGCAGAATGAAGTTTTGGGTAAACACCGTACTTGTGCCCTCTTCGTCTGGTAATGACATTTCTTCATAACGTTCTCGTCCACAAATAGAGAAGCTAGCAGTGAACTGAATTTATTACGTGTAAAAACCAGGTATGCTCATCATTCCTTTAAACTTTTCTATTTTCTATGGAAGTTGGTCCCAATGTCTAAGAAAACTATTACCATAGAATAAACTCACTGTTATAGAGTGATCTGCAAAGCTTTTGCCTCAAACGGAACTCGGACCCTCATTTCGCTCTTATACCGGAACGCGTACCCTGTCCCTTGCACTACTGACGCCTGTTTCGCCATTACTTTTACTACGCTACACCGCATCTGTCTTCACCAGCCAACCGTAAATGGTTTGGCTTAAGTATTCGCTATCGACATTGAACTTAGTCAGGCTTTCAGCCTCCAATACCCCATAATGTAGAATAAGTGGCAAAGAACTATATGTGTCTACTGGATTGCAGAAAATTTTTAGAGGGCAAAATGTTAGCCTCGTTCAGGAGATTTTGATTTACTAATCAGTTTGCGCCCTGTTAGATCACCTTGGGCGAGGGCGAATTCGCTTATATGAGGAAACTAAATGGGAAGCAAACCAGTGCGGCAGCAAAGTCCCATATGTTCCATGTAGGTGACATTAACACCGAAGACACGAACGAAAGGTATAGTGCACTTCTTAAGAATATCAACTGATATTGTTCGAATTCATTTTTCTGGGAGTTTGAGGTAGCTCCAAGAGATCTTTTGCAGTTTGTTTTTCGTTACAGGTGGTCATCAGCTTTTCCTTTTGGGTGTGAGCTTGCCGATAGATTTGGTGCCAATTCCAAAATATTGTGTCAAGCTCACATATGGGCAACATACTAACTAAAGCGTTTCTCACATGATTACTTATTGCTTTTGTTGCTACTAATATTCCATCACTACTGTTTTTGGCGCCCTTGAACCGATACCATTCGGAAAAATGCTAACATGTGTGTTGAAAGCATAAATCACTATTTGAAATAATGTTATGTCCGCCACTCTTACTGAGTTTTTCAATACATCTATCGTCACTCTCATGTCTATGGTGTGATATCTGTCCAATGCGATCAAGAGCATCATTATAGGTTTTTCCGTTACTGAGCAGGAATTTTTGCAAACGACTTTTTCGATGCACCAAGACTTCCCACTGAACTACCAGTCATCATTCGGAAGCTTATATTACGAAAAGTCCAGAAACCTACTAATTTATAAAGTGTGCTTGGTTCCTAATGAGACTTTTCCATGGGCTGTGAAGCTGCGTTTCAAAAACGTCGAGCTATCGTGCGGATTTTAATAATTTATTTCAGTATTTCTTCTCCACTTTGAAGAGATTTTAAGGATTTCTTTTTCAGATTTGTAAAACAAATTTTGTTCTACCGTTCTAGGGCTTAGGCCTTCTATTTTCTTTTTATATAACCAAACAAAACAGTAATTAATTTTGAAGTTGAGCCTAGGCCTAACACTTTGGTTATAACAAAGTATGAAGCTCTCCTCGCTTCGCTGCCCTCTGTGGCGAGCAGCCATTGTAGTGATGAAGCCATCCACAGCGGTAAGAAGGTTGATGGTTTGGTCCTCTACCACAAGGCTTCGCGAGAGGTTTTTTGTTTTCAGTTCAATATGCAACACGTCATTGTCACACCATATCTGTTATCATATCACCGTAACAAAAGTAATTTATTCGTTCAAACCGTTTATTCAACAATCTACTTCTTATCAAAAAAATGCTGAATTTATAGCATGGACTGTGTTCCAACCTCGCAATAAACATTGAATATAATTTTCAAGAATGTTTGAAGCCATACCGCGGTTGTTACGCCAGAACCATGTACGTGTATCGGAGGTCTCGCCCACCTCGTCGGTGGCCCACGCCCCACATTAAGCCCTGCATATCGATGCTTTGAATCATTTTGTATCTATCACTCGCGATCCATCGACTGAAAAGTGGTGACAGCACAGTGTCATTGTAAGCTATGCTGTCACCACATACGCCTCCCTCCTTGCTACAACGCAGAGCTTGATGTGGGGCGTGGGCCACTGACGAGGGAGTGGGACCTCCTAAACGTGTATGGCTCTGGCGTAACAACCTCGGTAAGGCTTTGAACATTCTTAAGAAATATACTGAAATATGGATTGTTAACAACTGAGCGATTTTTGGTATAAAAATTACGTATATAGAAAAATCTTCGATACTAATTGACACCAAAGAAAGTGCTGTAAAGTGTTGCTAAAGAATCAAATCAACAACCTTTTCACAGATGGCTGGCTTCACTAATCACTTGGCACTAGTTACTGAATCATTCAGCACTAGTTACTGAAACCACAACGCGCGATAACAGGGCAGCGCTAGTGCCGTGATCTGTTGTACCCAAAGTGCTAAGCACCTTCAATTTAAGCACAAAAAGCATATGATCGTGTAGAGGAAATTTTCGTATATCTAAGCCATACATTTTATCTACACGTTTTGTCAAAGCGGAGAACAGTTTTGGATTGCCCAGCAAATAGCAATCCGCATGCGATAATCGCCTACATAATCTATTAATCGCGAACCCATAACCACTCACATTCCCTAGCCGATAAGCAATGCTCGGCTTGTTTAAAGTTCAAACCATTTTTATTGCTATAGTGCAGTATGACGTGCTTTCAGAAAACAAGCACAGTATTAGATAGCCAGAGCTCACGTTATCGAATTCGTACTAAAAGTCTAGGGAATGAGATGTGTCCTGCGAGAGATACGCGTGTGTGTAACAAATCTATTTTTTCTTCATCAGCGCTATTAAAAGGCTTTTTTGCAATTTAATTGCATTCCCAAAGTTTCTGAGATTGGCGGTATCGGTTTATCACTTATAGTCTAAGAGGAAAATTTTGAATATAAGCGCGATAAGTGTGACGCGTGTGAAACAACTGTACTTTTG